ACAACAGCAACAAGAGGAAAACGAGCAGCCGCAACCATCTAGAGAGGACAACTCGACCCCTCCTGTTACGAACGGCCCTTTAGTGTCTAATGATGCCAGCATCAGCAGTAACCTGCAGGCCATGTCCTCTCAGCTCTTCCAGGCAAAACGTTGCTTCCGGCTCGCACCCACCTTTAGCAATGTTCTGCTCCGCCCTGCGGCTGCCACTAACCCCACCCCAGACTCAAACCCCGCCCCAATACAAGAAGCCACACCTCCTACTGGAGAAACACCGAAGCACATGAGTCCAGAGATCGCTAATGGAACCAACGACAAAGGTATATTGCATACAGTTTTCTGCAATTAATTTAACTTCGTCCATACATGCTTTTTATATACATTACACTTTTGAGCTTGGTAAGAAGTCTCTTATTCTCACCAAAACTTCATTTATTTGATTAAAGACACAGTAAAAACGTTAATATTGTGAAATATTATTACAATTTTAAAATAACTTTTCTGTTTAAAATTTAAGTGTCGTATTATCCTTCAGAAATCATTCTAATATGCTGATTTGGTGCTTAAGAATTTTTTAATTATTTAGATTAATATTATATACTATATATTTTTATTATCAATGTTGGCAACAGTTGCACTGCCTAATATTTTTTATGGAAACGATCAGGATTCTTTGATGAATAGTAAGTTCAAAAGAACAGCATTTTTTTTTTAAGAAATCTTTTCTAATATTATGAAACTATTTACTTTAAAAAATCTTACCTGACACCAAACTTTTGAAAAGTAGTAGTAGTACTTAAGAAATTTGAAGTTTGAAACTCTGATGTTACACTTCATTTATGTATAATCAAAGTCCTTCAGGTCCAATCAGTCTACAGGCTTTCATAGACAACTCATCAACTCATGTCTTTTAAGCACTGTTATTTTCTTAAGGGAGTGCATATTTAGTCCATACTTATAAGATTATTTGATTTGCTGTTTACAGATCCTGACTCTGATTCTGAGGACAGTGTTCACAGCAACCAGTCGCTTCCCAGTGAGAAAACCCTTTCTGAGCGACTGGAGATTCTGACCAATCAGGGTCTCATCCAGGTGGTGAAGGTCTTTTTGGATTGGCTGAGGACGAACACTGATATCATCCTCATGTGTGCTCAGGTACATCTGAAAATTCTGCATTTTCTTGAGAAAACCGTACAATAGTTTTTTTGTTGGTGTTGTTGCGTCGCTACACTTTAGTATACATGTTGGTCTTTGGTCTCAAACAGAGTTCTCAGAGCTTGTGGAACAGACTTTCAGTGCTGCTTAATCTACTTCCTGAGGGCAGCAAGATATTAGAAACTGGTGAGAGAAGTCATTATTATTATTATTATTTATTGAAGTTAAAATATCCTTTAATTTCCCTCATAACGCAATCTTTTTCTCTCGTTTTGTTGCAGATTTAGGTCTGAATAAGGATGTAACAGAACTCCTGAGTGAGTGTGAGCAGCCTGGTTTGGTCCAGACACTGCTGTTGCCCGAGGATCTTGCCCTTCGCCACCTTCCTGCCCTCAGCGTAGCCCATCGACGCCTGGACTTCACTAGCCAGAGACCCCCACTTACCCCTCTGGATGAGGTAACATCACACTTACCTCTGTGTCATTTGGAATTGATTTTTACTATTTGTTTGTCGTCAATAAAAATTGTGGCATTCTTCATATATTCTAATCATATATTTCATTTAGGATTTGAATTTTCCCTTGTTAATTTAGTAAAACTGTGGAAAACTGGGTTTTACCAGGTTACCAATGCTACCAGGTTACTGTTTTGTTTTTTAAAGAATACTAGATTTTTTCCTTTATTTTCCTTTAAAACATTAAGTATATATATATATAAAATCTTGTCTAATGTTTAAGATTACTATTCTCTTATGCTCATCAAGCCAACATTTAAATATATATATATATAGCTGCATCAAAAAAACTAGAAAAAAACAGTAATATTGTAAAATATTATTTACAATTTAAAATAATGGTTTTCTATTTATATATATACTTTAAAGTATAATTTTTTTATTTGATGCAAAGCTGAATTTTCATCAGCCATTACTCCTGTCAGTGTAACTACCTAGGCCCTAATATTTTTTTGCAACCTGTGATACTTTTTTCAGGATTTATTTATGAATATAAAGTTAAAAAGAGCTACATTATTAAAAATAGAAATATTTTATAAATTTAACACATCCTTGTTAAACAAAAGAATTCATTTCTTTCAGTAAAAGAAAGAAAATAATTACTGACCCCAAACTTTTGAACGCTAGTGTATATTGTTACAAAAGATTTCTTTTTTATGAAATGCTTTTCTTTTTTAACTTCTTATTCATTAAAGAATCATGAAAAAGTATCATCGGTTATAATAAAATATTAAGCTGCACAACTGTTTCCAACATTGATAATAAATGTAATGTAGTAGTACTTTTGAAAGCACAAAATAATGATATATATTGGGATGAATTATTTAGTGCTTTCAAATACTATTAAAAAACAGTTGGAATCATTACATTTCTTAGGATTCTCACTCATCCCTACTTGAGTGTCATAATGTATTGTTCAGGGAAAATCAAGTAGCTGGTTCCAGCTAATTAGTGTGCGGAGGATTTCATTAAATTACATAAGTGCAATATACAGTCATTGTCTTTTGCTTTCTCTCATGTTCTTCCTTTATGTCTTGTTTTCTCTGTGCTGTCCAGTGTGTGGTGCGCGTATGCTGCATTCGCAGCTTTGGTCCACTTCCTCACAAGTCTCCAAGGCAACGTGTTACACTTCAACCCAGAGGCGGGCATCTTCACCAGCATCAGCCAATCAGAGCAGGAGAATCTGATTCAGCAGGCCAAGGCCCAGTTCCGCATGGTAAAAGACATGATATTTTATTGTAATGGATGTAATAATAAGCCAAAGTATTAGTTTAGCAATAATAGCTTTGCTTCAATTTGCACTAGAAACTATTTTCTCTTAAAACAGTAAATCAGCTGATTTCTTTTGTGTATTCGGTGCATTGGCTCGTTTGGTGATTTGGTCTAGCTGTAGCATTTAAATACATGCCAAAATAGTCATGGAAAGTGCCTCTAAATGATAGGGTCTACACAGACATGTCTGCGGTAAAGAAAACGAGGCTTTTTCATAAAACCTCACCACATTTGTGAGCTTTTGCTTGAGAGCCTTATGTTGCCAAGCAACCATGCAGCCCTTACGGGTAGAACAAATGATGCTTGAAGTGCCACCTTGCTGTGCCGGTGAAGAGGCGGCCCTTTCTGGTACAATTTCATTAAAACCTTCAGGGTCTGCGAATGAAAAGCATGTCAGACTGCCAGGCATTCATGGAATAAGGCTGTAGTCAACAGCGCAGGTCTCTCATAAGACGCCACCAAATCATGACCACTGCAGTCAGCGTGAACTCTCTGTCCCTGCTGTTAACCCAGCTCAGAGTTTGAGAGTCCTGCTTTATTTTAAGAAGACTCTTCTGTTGGTTTTAGTTTGTAAGCTTTAATTCAATTCCAGTTTTATTTATTTGTTCCTTCAGTCAACTCTCTGTTAACAGTAAAACAAATATAAGATCTGTTGTTTTCCGATTGGCAAAATGTGTCTGATATCTGACCTACATCTAAACACTTCAGAATTTTTCGTCATTGTCACGTGTCAGTAGTGTTAATTTCATTAACGAAAAGTACGACGAAAAATGTTCGTCAGCGACCTTTTATTTTCATGACTAAGAAGACATCGGTCAGTAACCGATACCTGTGACTATAATAACATGCAATATCGTAGACGAATAGGGGGGGGGGGGGGGGGGGGGCGGGGGGGGAGAGGAGACAAAATATTACAAACTGATGTTCAAGCCTCTACTAGCTTTCATGCTTGCTGTTGCCAGATGTCACGAGCAGCCGTGGCTCGTCTATATATTCATACAAAACATAAACCTCTATATAAGCTGAGTCATTAATAAATTGTAAATGTGTTCAGCATTCTGCAACGAATATTTTTTGGATTTTCTAGACCATTTTAAGTCGCAAAGTGAGCAGGATATATTAAAATTTAACGTATGGCTTCGGTAGGCGTGTATCATGATACTAAGCGGGACAGCCGGTCTCAGAGCCCTCTCCAGCTCTACAGCGCCCCAATTATATTCACGTTAGCTTGCGTAAACCCCGCTTCAGACCAAGACGATAATAATCCGCTTCAGCTATGTGTATATTAAGCCCCCTTCACACAAAGCGTTGATTCCATAAAATTGCTAGAGAGCCTTCTGTGCGAACGCAAACTCGACCCAGGATGTGGATCTAATAATATTGTTGGGATCAGTCCCAGAACTCCTGTCTTTGGCCGGGGTTTTAAATGCAGATCAACGTTCAGTTCACGTTGCACATTAACAAAGAAGAAAGTTTGTGTTCTTCAAGAAACAAAGGAAGGACAAAAAAATGTCGCAGACATGCTTTAATGTTCAAAAAATCAATATATTTTTCACATACTGTACATTATTGTAGCTCCTCATGCCCAGTCTTTCTAAAACACGTCGATTTCCACAAAGCCCCTCCTTCTGAAAAGCATAGTGTTCTCTGATTGGCCAGCTGACTCAGTGCGTTGTGATTGGCCGAACACCTCATGCGTTTGTCGGAAATGTAACGCCCCCTTACCATTATCACAAGCTTCAGCTTCCAAAGCAATTATAAATACAGTTAATAATGTTGTCAGTTTTATCATATCAGTTCGAGCCAGAGTCGGATTCTGTAAATGCAGATGACCAAACCGATCGTTCAGAACCTGACACTCATATGTCTTTACAGTACACAAGCCGCCGTTCAGCTGAACATCACAAACGCCAGCAGTTTGAAAGCGCATGCTGCTTCAGCTCTGCTTGAGCGGAACACTACATCTATGTTTGTCATCTTTTCACCAAAAGTTATAAGCGGAGAACAGAGGATACTATGTTTGCAAACAAATCCATCTCTGCACTTTTGATCGTAAGAACGACAAACAATATGTTACTCTACACTGCACAAAACTCCGCATTTGAACAGTCAGCAAATAATACTTTAACAAATTATAAAACATACTTACAGGCTCTGATTCAGTAACGCCAGATTACCCTAGCCAATTTAGAATTGCCTTATTTTTTAGAAAATAGCCTTAGTGCACAGCCGGCCTTGTACTCTCCCAGGTTCAGGACACTGTCCTCCGTAAAATGCGCTTCACACACATGAACATTTGGGTTGTACTGTCCTGGAACAGTGTTGTAACGAAATCTTAACCACTGATTCCTAATTGCCTCCACTTTCGGAAGGCCAAATAAAGTGCAGCTTTTGCTTTCATATAGAAACACACAGCATCTCCACAACATGGTGGCGACAACACTACTGACCACTGAAGTCACGCCTTCTTTCTTTGAGTATGCATTTGGGTGGCGTTATGCAAATATTTCCACAGAGTGACGTAGGTCTGCGAGGGAGAATTCGATCTAGGTGTTTTAGCTAGATCTGAATCTGCCTTCTCTTTTGAATAGAATAAATCTTTTTATAGGAGACTTTGAGCTTTGTAACTTAGCAGATCTTATACACGCACAAACAGCTACATAACACACTAAAGAAAAAGGAAAATATGTAAACGCATCATATGACCCCTTTAAGGGAATTCTATGCATGATATCATAAACAAGCGCTTAGACCCAGATTCTGCCCTACCTAAATTTATGGTCACGAGCCGCTACTGATCATGAGCTTAAATCCCCCAATCAGAACTTTCCTCTTAAAAAGATACATTTTCTGCCAGGTGTTTTACTTAATCTTTGCAAACCATGCATATGAGTTGACATTCTATTGATTTGTGCTTATGTGATAAAGTGCAATAATTCTGATGTAATTAAAAAATACATTTCTTAAATGACAACAATTTTTGAGATTATAACTTTCAGCAAAATAATCATGATTATCAATTTAACCATTATGCAGCACTAGTTTTCACTGACTAAAACGGCCAAACATTTAGTCGACTAAAACTTGACTAAACAAAAACATAAGGTTGACTAAATATGAAAAAGAAAAAAAAACTCAAAAGAACATTTGACACAGGACTAAGACTAAATAAAAAAATAGCTGACGAAATCACACTACGTGTCAGATAGTCTTAGTTCCGCTCTGAAACCATCACATGACATTTGAGGTTAGTGGAATCATAGGAATTTGTAAACATGAAATTTTTAAAATTCAATGTTTGAATCTATAAAATGTCAGAGATCCAAAGATGAACTTGGAATATATGGAGGGTTTTATAATGTTGTAGGATAGCAGCAGTAGTTTATCCATTAATTTTGGACCATTTTATTGATCCTGCATTTTTCATAATGGATATTTCGGTCTGTAAGAAATTTATGGTCACAGACAATAATATTGACTGCAAAAATGTCCCTTTTTAAGGATCAACCTCTGCTGTCAGTGTCAAGTGTTTTGAATGGAAGTGTACACAAGAAACTAAAAACAAGAAATATGCATGGTATAACATATAAATCTGAAGCAGGAGCATGACTAAACTTAATTGGCACAATAAGGGCATGTTGTGCAAATAAATGTAATCTCCAAAACCATCTTAAAATTTACAAAAGATCCAATGCTTCTAGTTTCTATTTAATACTTATCTCTCTGTCCTTATATTTTCCGTCACTCTTACAATATTACCTTAGAGTTGAAATGTGTGAAACTGCAAGGTGCCCTTTTTGTATTTTACTTCCCAGAATTGTAAGGTTATATTTATCTGTGGTTTAACCATTAATCTCTTTAAGTGCACTCTAAGGTTATTCTTAAAAAAAAAAGAGAAACAAATCACCACTCTTTTTGCGTTTGTGTTTTCCTGTCTATTTACTGTATACTGCTCTTGCATGTTTTTTTCTCTTCCTCTTTAAGGGCAAAAATATATTTAGCTGCTTATTCACACCTTGTGTTTACTAAGGGTCAAATCTGAGTAATGTTTTGAGGTTACACAGAGGTGATATTGACCTTGCCTCATCTCATCCACAGGCGGAGGAGGAAGCTCGCAGAAACCGGCTCATGAGAGATATGGCCCAGCTGCGGCTACAGGTCAGACCAGCTGTTGGGTTTATTTTTAACTCTCATTAATGCACATCGTCTTCACAGCATTTATCCAAATGGACTCAATTAATTGGAGCAGTAATGGACCATTTCCTTGTCTCTCTCTCTCTGCAGTTGGAGGTCTCTCAGCTGGAGGGCAGTCTGCAGCAGCCCAAAGCCCAGTCCTCCATGTCTCCTTATCTGGTGCCAGATACCGCTGTTCTCTGCCAGCACCTGGGGCTGCTCAGACAGCTGGCTGCCAGCGGCTGCTTCATCATCATCATCCCTCGCACAGGTCAGTCCACGAGTCCAAATGAGGGAAATCTGGACATTTCAGGAGAGCCTGGAAATGTCATGGAAATTAATTAAATCAAACTAAAACTATTAAAAATCATTTTCAGACATTTAAATTAAGCTAAAATAATGCAGTCTCGTCCGACTCATAGCGTATACTTTACATTTTCGGTCTCCGGTGTTTCTAGTACAATTAGTATATTTTCAGAGCTGATAATGTAACGTTAAAGCTATTAAAATTGTTTCAAAAAGCACATGGCTCCATAGTGCCATCACGTTACAATGTCGCGGTGACCGTCTTTTGTCAGTGCCTCACCCGTCAAAGTTTAATAAGTACGTAGATGACATGAAGCTGCCCGAAGTTAGCTACATCGAAAACAGATGGGTGCTCATATGTTTCATCCAGCTCCCGATCGGGTGGTTTTGTCCTCAAATTTATAAGTGTGTCACGATACGGTGGTAGGAGCGAGGACTCAAATGCAGGTTAGGGTTTCATTTCTTTGTTTTATTTTATTATTTAATAAACACAACAAAGGGGGAAAAAACTGAGCCGAACACACTTGACTGGACTTGACGTGACTGGACTGGACTGGACTTGACTTGACTGGAAACAGGGAAAACATGAAGGGATGGAGGGTCTTCAGGGTCGTCTTATATTCGGAACAATACGGTACTTTCCAGGAATTTCTTCAGTTTATTGATGTTGTTGTGCCAGACAACAATAGCACAGCTTAACGTTAAGCTGCGCTCATTTTAATTTTTAGTAATGTTCAAAAAGTTTCTGTTTAATTCAGTCGCTCTTTTTTTTACCGTTTTAACAATGGTTTCCTATGGAGAGCAGAACAGGACAGCATACAAACGGAAGTTAGAATCCATCGTTTACTCAGGAAAAAGTATGATGAAAAACTAGACATGATTTTCTAATTAGAAAAATAATGAAACTGTTGCTTTTAGAACTAACTAAAATAAGTTTGATGAAGTACTAAAAATACAAAAATCTGAAATAAGAAAATAAATGAAAGTAAATGGTAAATGTACTGCATTTATATAGCGCTTTCACAGACCCAATGGCCACCAAAGCGCTTTACATTTTGCCTCACATTCACCCATTCACTCACTCATTCATACACCGACGGCGGTGTCAGCCATGCAAGGCGCCATCCAGCTCGTCGGGAGCAGCGGGGGTTAGGTGTCACACACACAGCTGGGGTTAGGTGTCTTGCTCATGGACACCTCGACACTTGGTCAGGTGGAACCGGGGATTGAACCACCAACCTTCCAGTTTGTAGACAACCTACATGAACCACTGAGCCACTGCCGCAATATAAAAATATTTTAAAAAATGACAAAATTACTGAAACTTAAATTGCAATGAAAACTAAAAAGACACTATAAAAATATAAAGCTCATTCATGTTTATTATTACAAATTCTGTAACAGTATATAAACGTTGCTAAAATAACTGCACAAACTAGTCTGTAAACCATTTTATGAAATCATTCTGAATGATTCATTAACATGTCAGTGTGACTCAAAATGATTTTAAACAATCCTTATTCAGCCTAGAAACGGGAAATTACATGTAAAAGGAAATTCATTGGTAAAAAAGAGTGGGAGCCTTGGCATCTGAATGGCAGCCCTCTGATTTTATGTGCAAATATTTTTAATAGCCTAACAGTTTTTACACTAGTTTTTTTTAATTACTACACTTTGAATGATTTAGAATCGAAACTTCTCCAGTTTGGCACCTCATATGTACCGTAATGAAAAATTATCTTAAATGGGCATTTTGCACAGAAGGTGCTAACCACCAGGAGTGATCAATCAATATATATTTCTGATCTCTTGCAGTGATTGATGGTCTGGATATGCTGAAGAAAGAGAACTCTGGAGCGAGAGATGGCATCCGGTTCCTTGAGACAGAGTTTCGGAAAGGGAACAGGTACATCTTGAGCTCAGCAGACACTAGGATTGTAGCTCTGTTTGTTCCAGACTGCAGACCTGTAGAGCATGACGTCTGATTCTAACGGCACCATTAAACAGTCAAAGTCAATGATTGAATGTGTCACGCATGAGCATTTATTCGTACTTATTATGCAACAGGTACATCCGCTGTCAGAAAGAGTCGGGAAGAAGCTTTGAGAGGGACAAATTAAAACGACAGGACATAGAAGCCTGGTAAGCCCCGTCATCTTCACTTCTTGTTTCAGAGCAAAGTGATTTTAAATTCAGTCGTGAAGCCCTGTAGGGTTTTCTGCAGACAGCATCGCTGCATTGATTGTTCCTGTTGGCAGGCACCTGTATAAGATGGTGGACAGCTGTCGTCAGCTGACGGGATCTCAGAGCAGTGGAGATGAAGACACCGCTGGCATGGTGACCATTTTGACAGGACACTCATTGGAGGAGCTGACTGAAAGATCAGCTTCCATGAAGGTCAGTTGTGCATTAGAAGACTCCAAATAGGCTTTTATAGTGTGGTATTGGTTGGCAGTATGACCAAAACTTTATAACGGTATGAGATTGTATTAGAGCTGCACGATTAATCATTTAAAGATCGCGAACTCGATTCAAACACCCACGTGATCTTATTCCTAAATGACAACAATTCGCCTGTGTCTATTAAACCTTTGACAAGTACGATCACACGAAACATATCAATCTGCTTTGGTGCTGCCGCTGAGCCAGAGAGAGCAGTTGCCATGTTTATAATAAAACAGCTTCACTAACAGTCTTTTCAACCACACAGTGTCATTATTTCTGATACAGTAATTCACAGAACCACAGAAGTACTGGGATAAAAGTTTATAGTTCAGATATAAACACTGATATCTTCGGTTGTGATCAAAATAGAGCAAATCACCTTTTGAAAGTAACTTGATGCTTCAAATGAAGATTGTATCATTTACATTGTCACACCAGTAGCTGACGACAAGCGACTGTTAAAAAAAGTATTTGTCGTCGAATCATTCATTCAAGAGATCCATTTAAAATGCTGATTCATCTGGTAATGAAACAAGTCTTTATAAGTGAGTCATTGATTCATTCAAACCAGTTTTTTTTATTATTAATTCAAATTAAATAAATATTTTTAATTAGACTGCTGTAATTTTGTCAGAATTTCTCGAATTTTACATGTTGTATTCTTACATGTATCTATTCTCTAATCTCTTAAATAGAAAAGCTACGCTTTTACATAGTTACTCCCCAACACTGTCATGCCACCCAGACCGAGTAGAATTATCCAGATTTTTCTCTGTAAGAACCATTGGGGTTTTGGTCGTAGTGTCCGTTTGTATGATGCAATGGTGTGTTTACACAGTTTTTCTATTGGTCTGGCTGTAGGTGTCTGTCCAGGCGGTGGCAGCGGCAGGCATGGAGCTGAAGAACATCACCGAGTTCTACCGGCAGTGGAAAGAGATGGGCTGAGAGACGGCGTGGGACGCAAGGGGTCGGCTTGGCATTCAGCTGATCGCACACTCACTCCCCCTCTCTCTCAATCTCTCACTCTCTCTCTCTCTCTCCAACTTTATCTGTATCTGTGTCTCCATGGGAAAAAATACTCAAAAGATGGAGGTTTGTAAGGAAGGGAGGGTGCAGGAAGTGTTCGGAGAAAAGAGAAGTCAGATGCACAGGGGCTTTAAACGAACAACGGCGCATCCTCGACCCCGACACAGGAGGATTAAAAGCTACAGGGTGAAATAACTCCGTTTAAGTGCCCCTGGTGCGCTATAACCAGGCATATCTGCCGATGAAATGAGTGTATATGTTTTGAGAGAGAACAAACATTCATGTGCATATACGTCAAAAACAAACCCATAAATTGAAATGTATAGAACAATGTTTTTGGATGACTTTTTATTTCCGTCTTTTCGCTACGGTCATGGGGTTGCACTGCCACGTGGATGTGTGTTTTTGACTGCAGCGGTGAACACCGTCTAGCGTTTACCCTTGGTTCCTAGGGTCACGAAGGATTCAGGGTATAGGGTGTACACTTCTTTTTGATGATTTGTTCTTTCTAACGTGGCTTTCCCCCACCAGTTTTTTTTTTTTTTTTTTTTTGCGGTGTAACTTTGTGATTTAATGTATTGTGTTATCTGTGTATGAGCAGGAAGTCTGGCAAATGGTTGCTTTTATTTGATTTTATTTTTGTATGTCGTATAGTTGCCTTTATATGCTGTGCTGAACACACAGGAATGAGGTTGGGTGTAGAGATGTTTCTTTCTGTTATGGCATAAAGAAACGACTCAGAGTTACACACATCTGATTCTGTGCTTACAGATGTGGAAGTGTTTCTGCTCGACTCTAAACATGAGATTACTACTCAGCAAATCTAGTCGCAGCCATTCGCCATCACATTCTCATAGTAATTGTCCCATATTGCACATCGCAAAGGAATCCAGTGTATGTGTGAGGCAGTGCGTTAAACAATAAAATATTTCATTTAAAAATGATCTGTTTTGTCCCTGTCATGGTTTTCAAATGCATGTCAATTTGAGTCCAATTTTAAATCTATAATTTAAAAAAAAAATACAATTTAAAATAACTATTTGAATATATTGTAAAATGTAATTTATTCCTGTGATTTCAAAGCTGAATTTTCAGTATCATTACTCCAGTCTTTAGAGTCACATGATCCTTCAGAAATCATCTTATTGTATTATGTATTCTTTAATAAAACGAAACTTCAAAAGAACAGCATTTCTTTGAAATAGAAATATTTTGTAGCATAATATCACAAACGTTTGAATAGTTGTGTATTATGGAAATTATATTTTGCCTTTATTTTATTTGAATTATTTTCTAGCAGAAAACATTAAGTAAACATCAAAATATACTGTATATTAAATATATATATATATATATATGTATATAATAAAAAACTGTTTGAATTTGTAATGTTTGCAGGTTTAAATAAATGAACTCAGTAGGGGCTAGCTATAGTTTGAGACCAAACGTTCATAATTATTGAGACATTTTCAGTTCCAGCTATAGATAGAAAAAACTAATTGTGTATCTAATGCTTTAAAAATGCAATGGGATGCTATAAAAATAAAATCAAGGGATTTCTATATTCATGGCAAGCAGCAAACATGCTAACCTGTTCCTTCTCTTTCTTACGGGGTCTGTCTTTTAGGATCTATTTGGTGTAAGTGGGTCTCCGTTCAATTATTTCCAGCATCTCATGCCCTCAGCCGCGCTGGGCTCTCTGCCAAGGTCTCATTGTGGCATTATGGCCAGTTCTCTGGCAAAAAAACCAGTGCCACACTGTCACAGAATGGCCGGGCTCTGCCCCACTTATAGGGAAGAATTATTTGCAGTCTGGTCCAATGACCAAATGTACCCTGGGGTTTCAGCGGAATGGAGGATGGATGGGGAAATGATCCCATAGCTGAAAACCAAACAGTGCCGTTCAAATCATCAATGTTCAATGTTTTGTCAAGCGCTGTTAGACCGCTGGGGTGGGGGGGACAACATGGCCATTTCCAATAAAGAAGTGTATGTCCGGAATTTACGCAACACTTTAAGTTTTACAGTGAAAGTGGCTGCATGGTTAGATATAAGCTAAACGTTTAATATTTGACTGTTTTACGATGGATGTTTAACGACCCACAGTAACATGCAGTAATGCAAATTAACTAGGCCTATCAACTTTTAAATGTAATGAGACAAGACAAGATACGTTTTTTTTATTTTGTTTTTTTATTGTTGACATATTAGACATACAAACAAGAGTGAATGTGTGCATATTTTTAAATAAAATATTATTTGCAAATAGTTTAAATGGATTACACAAGCATATGCTAGAGTTAGACCTAGAACTTCTTTTACCGTCCTTATTTCTTATTTATTTCCTTAAATCCCTTTTAGTCATTTCATTATTTAATTTACTTACCATTTTTTACTTTTACTTGTCTTTCTTAGAAACAGAGCGAGTGCGCTAAAAGTAGTTGAACGGGTTTCGTGTTTTGTTCTCGCTGGTCTCCTGATCTCGAACACTGGGCTGCTTTCATGTCTCCATCCAATGAGAGAATGCTCGTGGACGGAGGGTGGGATTTCTACTGCTGTTTGTGTTCCTTTCTCTTGGAATGTGAAGGACACACAAAGCCTGAATGATTCTCGGGGATGTCCATTAACGTTAGATTCTAGTTCAGCCATGGATGTGTAGTTATTTCGCGCTTCTTTTTCCCATTAACTGTAACTTTTTCGGATCCCAAACTGGCGACCTCACATCTCCAACTGGCACGCGCAAATGATCTCATAGACCAGATCAAGCTCAAAGGTTTGGACTTTAAATTTTCTCTTGCACATTGAGCGTTATGTTGGTATTTAAATCCATAATGTCAGATTTGTTGCCGCGCAACAACAATAGTTCTTCGAAAGATATATTTAAAGGAATGCAAAGAAAATACTTGGTCAACATGTCATGTTCGAACTTACAGTGGCAGTGAATTTCACAACAACCTAAAATCTCACACAAACACTCCACAAATATGTAATTTTTGCGAAGTTGGTGAGGAAAAAGTAGAAGTGTAACGTTAATGTAGCTCAACAGCAAAGTTTAGGGCTGCAGTTTGAATGTTCAAGTTTTGAAGAGTAGATCTCATCAAAAAGTTACAGTATAAGTTTGGGTTTCTAAAGTTGAGGAAATGAGTTTGGCATTTTGTGAATTGTGGAAGTGTTGAGTTGACAATTATACCCATGGGTGAGAGGGAGAGGGAGAGAGTATATATATATATAGCGTGGATATAATGGGAGAGCATGGTTGCTTTTGCAGAACTGCCTGTCTTTTCCTCGAACACATATGGAACATAGTCTATCCCGTACATTAGTCCACGTGAACAGGCTTCTGTAAGTAATACAGGGCCTCTTCCAAACCCTCATTACTGTAGTACTGACAGCATCCGTCTGTCTAGGTCTCTTTTCATGCTGGACACCCTTCTGAGTTCCATGTTTCCACCAGAAGATATGAAGAAAGTTGTAGGCTACTTCTGTTGTACCTTTATACAATTGTGTGGATTCTATAGTTTGCCAACTTTCTGAATCTTTATTAGTGGCCATAATGCAGCATTTTGTAATATGGTGATCCCCTTGTGAGGGACCCCCTTCTTAGAATATAAGTGCTATAGATTCTCATGAATGCAGTTCCATTTATACGATTTTAGAAATAGTAAGCTTAAGCATGATATTATAAAGACTAAATTAAATAACTGACAAACAGTCATTGTACTAAAGACAAAGGAAATTGCTAAAACATTATCTGGAAAAGATTTAGTTTCTATTAAAGTCAGCATCTGTTTTGTTAATGCATGTTCTAGATCTTATTGTGAATGATTCATCCATCTGTTAGTTTAATTTTTCATCTGCAAGCTTGAATTTTTGAGCGCCCCGCCCACATCTGTCACACTTGTATTACTAAGTCCGTGAGGCAAACCCCCAAATTTCAGAAATTTGTCTCATAAGAGGGCACCAATGCTACTCTTTTTTTATTCAACAGAGGGATGTCCCTGGACCACAAAAATGCATGATAGCAATTCTTAGTGGGTAGCTTAAGGTAAAAAAATCACCAATTTTATGTTTGACCCCCCAAACATTAGGCAAATTCCATTTACGGTCGGTTATTTCTATAATTCATTATTTTTGGTACCAAAACATTCATACTTGATGATATCTAGGTTGGAATTTTGTCGAAATTTTAACTTGTTTAAAAAATATTGTTATTGTGATTTTTGTTTTTTTGTTGCAGAAAACATAGTGGTGTACAGCTTTAACTCATTGTTTTAAACTTAAGACCAGTCTGTAAATGCCTCCGTTTAACAGGTAAGAATGAATTTTGCAATGAGGGCGTGGCTATCGAACAAACGCTCTCTGGCTATTCAGCGACTCGCAAGCTCGTTTAGAGCGGGGACCAAGAGTCCCCACAGAACCTTTCTGAGGATGCTAGGCCTCATGGCCTCTGCTTCATAAGTACGTCCGCAGAGTATGCTACACATACTGCAGTACTGGCTAAAACCACAGGTTTCCCCCCAATCATGGCGCTAAAGCCATCTCTATATCAGGGTAAACCACGGCTGCACCAGAGTCCTGGTCGAAACCCAGTCTCTTGGAGTCAGGGGTGAGCTTGGACCAGCACGGAGGGACGGTTTCATATCAACTGCCTAGAATTGCTGGTGGTTTTAAAACCTTTCTACCACGTTTGTCAGGTCACCATGTCCTGGTCCACACAGACAACACAACAGTAGTGTCCTATATAAACTGCCAGGGGGGGGCTCAGGTTGAGACGACTGTACGAACTGGCCAGAAGTCTCCTCTTATGGGCAGAAAACAACCTACGCTCGCTGAGAGCAACGCATGTTCCACGGAAACTGAACCAGGAAGCAGATATGCTGTCCCGGGGCAATGTGTCCCCAGGGGAATGGACCCTCCATCGCCAAACAGTTCAAATTATCTGGAGTGTTTTCAGGAGGGCAGAGGTCAAATTCTTTGCCTCCAAAGACAACTCTCACTGCCCAATATTTTTCTCGAAAAGCAGGAATGCGTTGGCCCACGAATGGCCCAGCCTTCCCCTGTATGCCTTTCCTCCAGTCTTGTTCCTCCCTCAGGTCATAAAGAGGATCAGGGAGGGCAGACACTCAGTCCTACTAGTGGCCCCTCTCTGGCGGACCCAACCTTGGTTCCCCGAGTTGATTCTGCTGCTCACAGCAGCCCCATGGCCAATACCCCTGAGGAAAGACCTAGGCGAACAGGAAGATTTGGCACCCCCCGTCCCAAACTATGGGCCCTCAATGTGTGGCCCCTCGACGGGAGCTAGTGGAGCTCCCAGCGAGTGACCTGAGCACAATCAATGAGGCTAGAGCTCCGTCCACAAAGACGCCTCTATGCTCTTAAGTGGTCTGTGTTCTCTGGCTAGTGCTCAGCAAGAAACCAGGACCCAAACCTATGTGAAGTGTCACCAGGACCCAAACCTATGTGAGGTGTCACTGATACTTTTCTCCAAACTCATTCAACCCTGTTTAAAGCACAAGTGATCACTCTCTCTGCTCTTCCCACATCGAAAGATGAGCAGCAATTACACCTACTCTGCCCGGTACAGACGCTCCGCTCAGTACAAACAGTCAGAGCAGCTCTTTATGAGCTTCGGTGGTCGCACAGTGCTTGATCACAAAGCAAAGATTATGCCAATGGCTGGTGGATGCTATGGCTTTAGCATATGCCTCTATTGGCCTGCAATGCCCCATAGGCATCACAGCTCCCTCCACTAGAGGCATGGCCTCCTCCTGGGCATGGTCCAGTGGAGTATCTATTGCCGATATATGTATAGTGGCCGGCTGGTCCTCGCAGTCCATCTACGCCAGGTTTTATAACTTGGAAGTCCCTGCACTGCAGGCACATATCCTTTCTGTGTGATGAAGTCAGCCTCATTGAGCCAGGCCCATCATAATTAGGGCTTTTGCCCGTTCAACACGTCATGCCAAAATCCTGACATCAGAAGATGTCGTTGCTCTTATCATAGCACAGCGTGATTGGGTTGGTTCCCCATAGCGTATAGCTACGCAATACATATGACCGTTCGAAGGGAGATATATTGAACCATATTTGCACAAAATATTATTTTGTGTTAATATAATTCCAAAATTGTGTTATATTTTCCTTATTTTGTTGTATATTTTCTGTCCTAAAGAGCTTATATATTTTATTTTATTTTTAATTTCACAGTGATATCATCATAAAAGAGAAGATCTAAAGCAATAGATATGTCAATATAACAGTTTATCAATGTTGAGATTTAGTTTGCATAATTAGAATTTTTCAGCACAGTTAAATGTAAAATTGGTATTTTTCATACCTTAAGGCTTAAGCTACCTACATGGCACTGCTATCATGCATTTTTGTGGTCAGGGGGCATGCCTGTTTTGAAAAATAACCATTAGAATTGGTGCCCTTTTTGATACCAATTTTCTCCCCGCCTCACGGACTATATGTCACATTACGGAAGTAATGATCTGTTGAAACGTCCGTTTCATCGTGACTTGGAAAAAAAGATGACATCTTTTTTCTGCTCACTATTCGTTAAATGTATGAACCATTTCAATAAATACTGCTCCAAAGCTGTTTTACAAAGAATATTACCTTAAAACTCTCAAGATAAAGACGCCAACTCCAAAAAGAAATCCAGGTGCAAATTATACTGTATGTCACAATAAAAAGGAGATACTTAAAAATGATATGCAGATTTGGTTTTAAAAAGTTTTGGTATAAACTATGGCTATCAATAGAATCAAATAATCCCAATTAAAGCATACATAATATCTTAACACGTTAACTCCGACATCTCTAAACAAGTTACATTTTGTAAAATCTTTTTTGTGTTGACTGTTTTAAATATGGAAAACCAAAAAGCAACGTATTACCACCCAGACACCTAGAATGACAGCATGTTAAAACCATTCAGAACACCATAGAAATGGCACAGCAACCACAACATCCTTGCATCTTTCGCACAGGCAAAGCACCACTTATACACCGATGCCTATATGCTGTTGATCCTCCATGTGCTGCCAAAACAGCGCTGACCTACCCTGGCATGGACTCTACAAGAGCCCCGAATGTGTCCTGTGGTGTCTGTCTGGCACCAAGACATTAGCAGCAGATCCTTCAAGTCCTGTAGGTTACGAGGTGGAGCCGCCATGGATTGAACTTGTTGGTCCAACCGACTGAGATCTGGGGAATTTGGAGGCCAGGGCAAGACCTTGAACTCTTCACCATGTTCCTCAAACCGTTCCTGAACAATGTGTGCAGTGTGGCAGTGTGCTTTATCCTGCTGAAAGAGGCACTTCCTCCAGGGAACACCATTGTCATGAAGTGGTGTACCTGGTCTGCAACAATGTTTAGGTTGGTGGCACGTGTCATATTTACGTTCACATGAATGGCCAAACCCAGGGTTTCCCAGCAGAACACTGACCAGAGCATCACACTCCCTCCACTGGCTTGTCGTCGTCCAACAGTGCATCTCTTCCCCAGGATCACGGTGCACATGTACATGGCCATCCACCTGATGTAAAAGAAAACAGGACTCATCGGACCAGGTGACCTTCTTCCACTTCCAAGGTCCAATTCCAAAGGCTTCCGTGCCCATTGCAGGCGTTTTCAATGGTGGACAGGGGTCATCTTAGACACTCTGATTGGTCAGCGGCTACACAGCCCCATACGCAGCAGAATGTGATGTGTCACCCACTGTGTTGTGACACATTCCTCACATAACCTTCATTAAAATTGTGTGGA